TCCGTTGTCTGGGCGGTCTGCTGTTGAGCTGCTTTGATCTCCTGAACGGATTGTTCCAATTGGAGAAGACGCTGATCTTGACGCGTGAGCGTCTGTGCAACAGGGCCATTGTCCTCTTGCCTGGATGGACGTGAGGCGTCAGAGCTCTCCGAGACAGGCTTGGATCGACTTGATGTATGTGAGGAGCGAAAATTCTGCCAAGGATCCTGAATTTGTAGCCGATCAATTCCCTCCCGGCCCGAAGGCGGATCTCTTGCTGGGAATTGCTTTTTCCCGTGTGGTCCAATGAGGACAGACGGTAACTGCGATTGTGCCTTGCGGTCCATCTTGGTGGTGAGGAGCACCTGTCCATTGAAGGATACATATGGCGGTGGTTCCATTGCTGCTGCCACCAACCATCTTTTGGGGCCTTGATTCTTGAGGGGCTTGACATCCCATTTGACTTCTTTGGCCCAAGTGCGAATGATCTGGGCATCAACACCCAAAGGAAGCGGCTCAATGCGAAAGGTGAGAGGGTAGGTCCCTGAGTGGGCATTTCTTCTCCTGGACGAAGCTTTTCCCATGCTGCTTGATATGCATTCTGCTCAAAGCGGATGCCATGTCTTTTCTTGCCTCGAACGAAGCCAGCCTGGCCCGGAAGTCTGCCTGCTTTGGCTTGGAGTGTTGATGAATCTCCATCCATCCATATGATGGCATAGTCCTCTGCAGGATGGCCATGTTGATTCTTTGGTACAACGTGTATCTTGTTGTATCCCGACGGCCGAAGGAGATCCATCAATACATCATGTGCAACTTCCACATGGAATTGCAAACTGGTAGCTTGATCTGGCTGTACCGAGCGATCTCCAGCCTTGTAGCTTCGTCCCCACGGGTTACGAATCTGCTGAGCAACTTCCATAGGAAGAAGGGATTTGGTTTCCTTTACTGGTGCTCGAAGAATGGCCTGCCAGTGATCGGAGGTGAATTCGTCCTTCCACAGAGTGATACTGCACACACGAGTAACTGCCAGCTTAACTGAAGCATCTGTGTGTTGAGCACCCATGGTCTTTTCACCAAGTTGCAGAAGAATTCCTTGGAGGATGACTTGTTGGCCTTTGTTGTTCACAGCCGGTGCCGACATAGCCTGCCATGGAAGGGAGGATGTCAGAGTGTCTGTTCCAATCACAAATGCCGCTAATTCATCGGGACTCTGATTTTGAACCTCTCGGAGCCAGGGTGCCGCCTGTTCAAGATCCATTAGACAAACTCCTCTGGCCCATGGAGTGATTGCTGATAGGATCTGAGCTGGTGTCCCATCCGCATACTGAAAGAATCCTTGTCGCAGTTGGAATTCCGAGACATCTGGATCCTGTCTGGCTTTGTTGGCCTGCTGCTTAGCAATCTTCTGATATTTACTCTGCTGCAGTTGGTGCACATCTTCATTGGATGGAAGCTCAATGTGTGCTTCTTGACAGAGTTTGCGAAAATCTGTCCACTTGTCAGCTCCAGTTTGGGAGAACAGAAGGTGGGTGATCCTTGACGTTCCATATTGCCTGAGCAAGTCCTCCACTTTCGTTGGGGTCTGTGTAACCGGAGTGCCCATTTGATGAAACAATTCGGCCAGCTTGGAATGTAGCAAATGATGATGCTCCTTCTTAGATCCCACGTGAACACCTCCATGTTGTGGTGGTTGTAAATAAAGAACTACCGGATGCGGGTTCTTGTGATCATCCTTAGCTGTCAATTCATACAGCCGGACACGATCTCCAAGGGAATGTGCTTGAGAGATAATGGCCATGGATCTCCCATGATGAATAGGCCAGAATGCTTGCGACAGTATCTTGTGGAAGGTGCCAACTTGCCTTTGTGGGTCCATGAAGCCCTGAAAAAGGGTTCTGCCATGATACTTGATGACCACCCAGAGACCATCCTCCGTAGCCATGGCCTGGAACTGATTTCGGACAATCCGAAAAGCCATATGTGGCAGTATGTAAATCGCTGGTGTAGCAAACTTCTTTCCTGTAGTGGCGAATACCAGTCTGGCCTGGTTGTCTGAATTGATTTGGAGACATGGTCGTCGGGCATGGTAAACCTGCCAGTCTTGTGATGCTGCTAAGAACCATGTCATGAGCACGTTCTCCACCGACTCCATGGGACCTTCAAAGAGACAAACCAGATGATCTGTGTCTACTGGATATCTTGCTTCAATCTTGACAGGCTGCGTGGTAGTGATCCAGTGATCAATATGGATTTGAATGGTCATAGGAGGATCCACTTCCGTCACAACCCATAGATCAGCTGCATGCTTGTGTCCAGGAACTTCCCCATACTGGTCATGCAGACCGGCTTTTCCTGGAAAATATGTAGCCAAGAGTTCAGAGACACTGATGTCCTTGGCAACAAGGAAGAATTTTGCTTGATCTCGCTCTTGCATCAGAAGAGGTGCATCTTGATCGAAAGGAATTTCCTGTGGAGCTGGAGCTTGTATCATCGTGTGTGGGACACAGAAATAGTGTCCCTTGAGTATCTGATGCTCAGGGCATACTTGTTGCTCCCCGACAGGAACATTGCATGTTTCGTAGCTCCACATATGCGAGATCTGACACGATTGGACTTCCCCAAACAGTTGAAGAGTGCCATATTCACCTGGAATGAAGAATGGTGTAATGGATGCTGTGGATTCATGCATCAAGAGGGATGGAGTTGCAGTGTTTCCTCCAGTGGATCGTGCAGACGATCCATCACCATGACCCTCCGTAGGCACATCTGGTCGCAAACTCTTGGTGGGTGAGGAGGTTGCAGTGTTGTCCTCCTCAGAGCCAATAACCTCAATAACTTCGGATATTTTCCTCTTCTGAGGTTGGGATTCTGTCGGTGTGGATGACGATGTCTCATCTTGCTTATTGAGAAGCTTCTCCAATTGGGGAGACTCTGATGGAAGTTCCCCGGCTTCATTGGATGATTCCTGCGGCGATGTACTGTGCGCAGTTGAGATAATACGAGCTTCTGCTGGATCATCGTCACTTTTCTTCTCAGAGGTGGAATTAGAGACCTTGTCCAAATCAACCATGGCTTCATGGCACTGGTAGCGGAGCTTCTGGCAAGACTGCAAACCGAAAGCACTACTCCAGTACACATCGTCGGGCCATCCAAAGTCAGCAGTGGTAGCTGGAGCTAAGTCTTCTTCCACCTTGGCAAGAAGAACCTCCAAATTGGATACATCTGCTTTGTCAGTCAAAATCCAGGCATGCTTGTTGGCCACAATTCTCGATCTTGAGAGCACCCTCCGGTCCTGCAACATCTGTGAGATCGCAAAGTGAACATCAATTTGAGCTTCCGGTGCTGCCTGAATGTTCCATGCATTGAGTAGGAGCAATGCTGCATGTGGCGTGGCAATCATATTTCCCAGGCTATGCCAAGCATGTTCTCTTGGTCGCAGAAGGAGCAAATCATGCGGCTGGAGATGCATCAAGGCCAACTCAATGGGCTTCCACCATCGAAAGGTCATTTGATCAGGACAAAAGAATCCGTGAAGCCCTTTTTCCATAAGGAGATTAATAACATCCAAAAGGTGCTGTTCCCCATATTTGGCCATCAAAACCGGTTGCTTAACATGCAACCCTGGGACCCTCAGCTGGAAAACACGATGAGTCGAAACTGGTAGGTCTCCTCTGGTGGGACAGAGCTCCACACTCATATAGAAACTCTTAGTGGCTTCCGAGGGGAAAAAATCCTCAAGATCATCAGGACGAGTGGCAGCCCAGCAATCAAAATTCAAAGGTGTGGAGAAGGTGAAGTCCTTCCACTGTTGCCATTTGGGCAGATCATCCCAAGATACATCTCGGCGAACAAGGATAGCCAGATACCGTGGTCGACGGATAGGGCAGATTTCTGCAAGTTCAACAATACCTTCATGGAGAATCTGATAACCTGCCCAGCTCATCAGCTGCCCAAATATCGGATATTGGGAATGCATCCGAAATCCTTTGACATTCTCAAACAGGAGAACATTTGGTTGGTGGAATCGAATGGCTTCAAATGCAGCTGGAAGAGTTTGCGCTCGAATATCTGCCAAACCTTGCTCTCTACCTGCTGTGGACCATGGTTGACATGGTGGCGAAAGTGTCCACACTCTTGAACAGGTGCCCTGTAGGGACTTCTGCCAGCCACGAGAGCTAACATCAGCACACACCACAAAGTTACCAGGAACCTTCTGCCACAGATTGCTTGGAAGCTTCTTATCGTTGGGGAAGAAGGACTCATTGTGATTCAGGGCATGCTGAAATGCAAGCTTCTTGTCAATCTCAATGGAGATGGTGCGGATCCGAGGAAAAATGCGAGGCTGGAAGTACCTCAACGCCGAACTCCATCCCCCAAAACCACCTGCAAACAGGTTTACCATCACCTCAGGGTCTTGTGGTGTCCTGGGGATAACCAAACTATCAGTGGACAAACACATCACGATCTCATTCTTGGCGACCTTCTCTTGATAGGGATGTAGAAAGAGTCTCGTGATCAACAGTTCCGGAGTGGCCTGCAGGTCCGAGAGTCCTGGGAACTGTACATACACCTTCTGTGTTGTTGCGACGATCGGAGGCACAGGACGTGTCGTATGGCCAAAGTCCTGAGCCTGCAAGAAGCCACCCTTCAAGACAGTGGCAGTAATGCCCATGGAATCACATTGCAAATCCCCCAGCAAAAGATTCCATAGGGTTCCATCCCCAGCTGTCACAGTTTCATGTATATCCAGTTCGGTGAGGTAGGATCCCAACAAAGGTGGATGGGGTCCACTTGCCATGGCTCAGTCCGGCCGCTACACGACGGGTCAAGATCGCCCCGCAGAGGCCTGAGCCCTCAATCTTGAACAAAACGAACACCAAATACCGTACCCAGTGATTCCCAAGACAAACATGAAGTAGACAGTCTGGAAGGAAGGTCTTACTGTAGACCTCAAAAAGAGAGGCTATGAGAGGCTCATCAACCTCATCGTCGCCACGTCGAGCAGCCGGATCCCCACCCGCCTTCGGCCCTGGCACTGGACTTTTGGGCTCTTCCCCTGAGCGGTGATGGTGCACGATGGTGCCAAACCCCACCAGGAGGATGGCCAAAAAAACAAAAAAACATTTATGATACAAACAGAGTTGAAACAAAAAGACTGTCATGAGGGGTGATGAACTGAAGCAACTAGGTTAACTATAGCCCCCGGTTTTGATTTACTTATTTAGCATGGTGTTCTCCCGACTCTGCATGGCTCAACACAAGTACGGTGGACTCGGTTCGGGTCAAGAACCTGTTGGACCAAATCTCAGAACATGAATGCACATGACTCAACAGGGAGCCTCATAAAACCCTGCATTGTTGCCGAATTTATCTTAGTTTTGCTTAGGGTTATGGTGCAAAGTAACATGAACTTACATGGAATATTGACATATTGTATATTCCCAGGAAGGGAATCACCCATGAGTAAAATATAAGTAACCCTAAGGCACCCTAAGCAAAACCAGTTTCTTCATGTGTGGTGGCAAGGGGTGCCGGAGACCGTGGGCAGGCGGTGCCACAGTGCGAATCTGTTGGGTGAGCAGATTGTCAATCCACAACCGATCAAGCAATCATCGGGTTCCCCAAAAATATGTTCCTCGCTATGCTTTTCCTCTCTTGTCCCAGGTGGTACACATGGGACTTGGCCGACTCTCAGCTTTTCGTCTTGCCCACGGGTACGAAGCCGCCTCGATTGTGCCAATGGCCCACCTGGCATGACCGCCAAAATGAAGAAACCTATGCAAGGAAACGTCCCCCGACTATACATGTGTTCACTAGCAACACCTGGTGGCTCCAATGCGAGGGCCAAACATTTGCCGTCAATCATCTTTTTCACAATTTGGAAATCAGGTACAGTAAGTCTGTTTTCACTGGGTGCCCATGGCAACTTCTGTCTATAGCTCTGAATATAATGTCTGCAGTGATCTGTTGTTGGTACAGCAAGTGGCCTCACCCATTATGGGAGGCATCGTTGACTTATCTCGCCAGACCTGGTGGGTTGAACCGAGAGTGGATGTAGATAATAGATGTGGTATGATATTATTGGTGGCTTTGGGTTCCAAAAGGGGCATTCATGGTAATGCGGCTTGGGGATCGCTTAAGCATTCCCCAAAAGGAAGAAACATGCCACAACACACATGTTTAGAAGACAAAAAAGATTTAAATGAGCGAAGCAATCGTTGGCAGCCTCCCCCAACCAAGTGTTGGCCACTTGAGAAGTCTTGAGGGAGGATATTGAAATGACATCCCCAAGACCCAGGCACCAAGAAACCTGAACAATGGCCAGTCGCCCGTCAAAAAGCGCCAACGCACACTGAAACGACAGTATTGTGAAGTGTTGTTGGCCCAACAAGATTTTTTCGGCACGTGTTCTCTTTGTTCAGAAGTCCTCCTCTCGAAATCTAGAGATTGCACTTCTTGCATGGAACGATCAGGAAGATCTGCAAAAAGACACCGATCAAACCCATCAAACGAACCCATCCAACGACCTTGGGAGCGACCCTCTGAGTCCCCTGTCCCATTTGTTTCAAGCTTTCTTCGACAAGTCTCCCTCTTCCCAGTACGATCCACTGCCACCTTCTCAGGTTCGGTACTTTCCTGGACCCTCCTAGTTTCCGTCCTCACCTTCTCAGAAGGGATGTGGATCCATAGGGTTCAAAGCCCTCTTTTAAACTTCAAAGAGCCCTTCTTCAAGAAGTCTCCCGACCAAAACCCACCTGGAGCTTGTGCGGCGACCGAGGCGACTTGGATCCTCGGTCCGGCCAAAACGGACCAAACAGCTTGGGTAAGGGTTGTCAGGCACTTTCCCTTTATTTTCAGGCATGGTACACCCCCTTGGAGGACAATCTTCCGAATACCAGGGAGTGTAGATCTTAGAACAGCAAGGAAGACTCGCTGATCGGACGTCGTTTCCGCTGAGGGCACAAAAAAATCATCAACAACGAAGACTGTCAACCAGTCGCTGCGAAAAGGGCCCGAAAGGGACATCTGGGATTCATGTTTGTAAATATTTGCAAATCCACCCATCCAAAATATTCTATCATATTGTATCTGTTCAGTCACCAACACAAGCTGTGTCATGAAAAAATTCTCTTCTTTTATGTTCGTCAAAATATTGATGTGAAGACTCCCATCCGCAGGACTCCTAATTAAGTGAAATGTCTCGATGTTGATGTCCATGCACCACCAAAGTACCAGGATGGGCTGGCATCTTTGTCCTACCAGAGCCCAAAACATGAACCTTGTTTTGATGATAGGAAGTTGGACTGTTGGGTGCTTGGTGGTGAAGCATAGAGGTCACTCGGTCATTCAGGTTCGAAACGTCCAGAATCAGGTTTGCACCAAGTCTCCCGTAGGAGAGTTGCCCCGCGTGGGTGATCGTCTTCCGCCAGAGGCCTGTCATGAGGAGAGCTCAGATTTTTAGAAGGGAGGAGCCACCCTTTGAGGGTCCTACCCATGCCTAAATGATATCCAATGATCAAACATGTCAAGTGTACCGCGAACTTCTTGTAGTTGTGTTTGTCTTTTCTTTTTTTTTTTTACAGGAGGCCTTTGGGCCATGACTCTGTGGGTGCTGACAACTCCATCAACTTGCCCTATCCGAAGTAATGCACTGAAAACTATGCCAAAAGATATTAAAGGAAAACATATCTAGAATAGCCATGACATGTTTGCCTCAAGAGTCGTCCTCACAAACTCAACAGCGGTTTTAGGAAGAATCACTTGGCGCAACACCAGGGTTCGCAAAAAGGTGGAGCATCTCGAAATAGACGACCCTGGAGCCAGCTGTTAGCAACCGAGATAACAATGAGCCGAGTAGTATAGTGCAGTGAACCACCGATCAGTTAATAGATTTTGTCGGATGCTCGACATGCCAGCTACGTCGGGCCGTCCCACCGCATCAGTGGCTTTCCGACCAACAAATCCACCCCTCATCCCATCTCGACTCTCTACCCTTCATCCCAAAACATCTGAAAACATCACATCTTCGCAGGTCTTCCAGTCATCTTTCATCTGACTCCCACCTTGATCCACGCGGGCCGGAAGCATGGCATCCGGGACAAGTTATCGCCCTCCTGAAGCTTGGTGATCAGGGTTGGCAGCTCGTGGCTGATGAGTCAACCCACAAGACATGGATCGTAAAGGCTCTTCGAGCCTGGGAGGTTGACGGGTTGACATATAATCAACATTATCAATCAACTCAGTCTACATTAATTAGCTTCCTGAAAGAGCAATCACCCGCAGGCATCATGATTCTACATGATTCTGTTCAATGAACGATCTCCCATCTACATCGACCAGGCCAAAAAGGTGCCAAACCAAACAAAGCTGCTCACTCCGGGCCTCACAGGAAAAAATCCATAGCGCTGGGTCACTTCCATAGGAGCCTTTCCGAAGAAAGCCAAAACCGGCGGCAAGGCTGTGACCCGTCCTTGTTCCTAGTAGTAAGGCCAGGAGAGGGTGGAACTTGAAGATAACACATAGGTATTCGCATAGGTTTCTTCCTACACCAGGCGCTCACCAATCGGGGGTGACTATCGAACATCCTGTTCTTCCGTTGGATGATATAGATGCATAGGAGACCGAGAGCAGTCAATGAGATGTTTGCTTCGTGCTGAATTTGGCTGACCAGCCTGCAGGTTGAGGATTTTGGTCTTGCGAATCCTGCTCCAGCTCTCGCTTGATCTATGATTGACGTACTCAACTGATGGCACTCGATGCGGAAAATTCGACAGCCAAGAAACAACACCACCTCCACACCAATATCCCTGGGTTGATCTCAACTTGGTGGCTGAACATAGAACAAAAACCTCACCATGAAACAAAACACCACTCACCACCGCAGCAATTGCAATTTGTTTGGTACCCCATTCCGTTCTAAAGATTGGTATTCCATCGAAATGATTCAATGGTGGTCCTCAGTGCTGAAAACTGAAAAGGCATCAAGCTTATCAATGCACACTTCTGTGTACAAATGCCTTTTGCAAAGATATCACAAGTCAAGAGAAAATTGAGGTAACACAAGCAAGACATGTTGGTATAATTGCATACTGATGATCGAATATGTTGGATCACCGTGTGCATCCTGTATGTCATAAAAACTCGAAAGCGCCAACCTACATCCAACTATACTTACAACTCACCCTCAACTCTTGAATTCATCGGCTACCGGTTGTAACTCTCCCAACTTCCGCCTCTCTCCGTTCCTCCCCACCGTCCCGCCGTACGAGGCGGCGCTCACCGGCGACAGCGTGGCGACGCTGTTCACCGCGCGGCGACGATCGCCTGGCAACGCTCAGCGAAGCAGCGTCCAAGCGCTGCTTTGAGTGTTTTTTTTTCCGATGTGTTTTGGTCCTCGGCCTGAAAAAGCCTTCATGAGGTTCTTCACTCGATCCTCACCTCAATGGGAAGCTGGGGCAGAACATGGAAAACACAAAGGAAACGAACAAGATATGGGCGGGAAGGATGTTCTGGTGATCATTGACGCCTACAATCAGGTTCTCAGCAAGTGATGGGCTTGCTTGCACACAGCCAGCACTTCAAGTCATCTTTGTTTAAAGACCGGTCCATTTTTCCTTCCAGATCCACCAGTCTCCGCTTGCTTGACCATCCGCATGTGGCACCCCCCCAAAACCGTCTTGCGATGCTACACGATTCTACGCGACATGCGGGCCGAGAACAGGCTCAGCTTCCGGGCCCAGTTTACTCCTTGCCGTGAACTTCCTGTCGCGGTTCCCCGGTTTGCCGGAAAGGACTTGTTGGTTCAGGGGGTTAACTAGTCGTCTCAAGCAAAGCACCAGTTGGGTTGGCTAAGGGGAGATCAGGGAGATCCCATTTACAAAGTTTATGAGGTGAGGTGTAAATGCTCATCACCAAAAGGGATGGTCGTCCTCCAGAACCGCAAAATGTGAATGATACCAAAGTCACTTGGAAGAGTCTGGCATTCAGTCAATCAAGCTTGAGACATTAAGAGTCTGTTTCTTCCGTAAGACCTCTCAGTTAACGATCCTTCCTTGCGTGTCTTCCCTTGAAGACCCGCAAAGCCAATTCCAGGGTGGCTCTGGACTAATTACTATGATCTGTTCGTCCACTGTCCCTTTCAATCCTCTTGCTTTGACGCAACTGGCTTGGTGGAAGAGACAAGGCTGCGTCATGTTGGAAAACCAGAGAAAGACAGTGTGCATTATCCCCACACACGGGCATTCATGTCTTCCACTAGGCTGACAGAATTCCTCATGCATGGTTTCAAATCACTTGAAAATCAGGAACAGTTATTTGAAGTATGTGTAAACACAACAATCACTGAAACTAAACCCGAATTCTCTCTCAGAACCTCTCCAGGCCTAAAGCTGGCGACCATCCGCTTCATCACGCTCTCCTTGGTGCGTGAGGTCCTTGGTGCGGCGCATCCAAAACAAAAAACACGTGGCAACTCTGAGCCCGGCGAGGCTTTCAACACCGGGTGAGTACCAGTCGTGAACACTGGTGAAGCGACCCGTCGTGAGTACCAGTCGTCCACGCAGTTTCGACCAGTCCATTGACCTGTCTTCCGATCCGTCTACAAAGCCCAATGGGAAGTCCAATTGTCCTCACCACACCCAACATGGCCCAACAAGTTTGGCTTTCCAACCGTGTCATCTGTTGAGCTGGTGTCTACTTTAAGGATCGCAAGCACCGGTTGAAGAAGAAAATCCTCACCAATCGCAGAAGCATCGCAAAGTTGCTTCGGTTAGCTCCGAAGATTCGCGCATGGTCTGCGCGGTGAGATGACCAAGCGACGAACAAAAATCGATGTTGGCGCTTTCCACTTTCCAGCCTTCCGAGAAAGCAGAATGAGAACGGAGCTTCTGTGACCACCCGACTGGTGGAGCCTTCGGCTAGTCACTCAGATTGGAAGACAGGGCAAGTACTTGGCGACTGCTTTCCAACCTCTATGTTGAATGTGTGTTGCCACTCAAATAAACATGCGCGTCAAACATCTACAACATCGATCATTATCACGGAATAGTTTAACATTGTGCACACAATTCAATAGCCCCACTTCTCTTCCTGTCCATTTTTCCTCTTTCTTGGACACTGAGTGAAGCAAAAGCTTCTGACCCCACCGAAAAGGAGCACTTCTGGGAGTCTTGCACTTTAGGGCTGGACCCCTGGTCTCCCCAGGTCTTGCGGAAGTGGAAGGCACACAAATGTCTAGAGTCTAGACGGCCACTTCCATGGGATGTCTAACACTTCTGGTGGTCAGAACTGAGATTCCCCCAGAATCCAGCGTCCGCTTTTAATGGATTTGGGGCTTTCACTCCAATACACCTTGACCCTGCCTATACTACCATTGTGCTATCGGAATTGTTGACTCAGGCCTCAATAGTACGTATAGTCTTCTCTGTCAGCCAACCGTCTCGGAAAAAAATAAATACCATTCCGTCTCCTTCGATGTTGCCTTTTAAAGAACTCCACCCACTTCAGGAGCGCCTTGTGACCGTGAAAGGGACTTCAACACGGCTTTCTCCGTGCGTTTGTCGTCGCTCCTACGGCTGAGACATTGGGAACCCAGGTGGCCCATGGGGTCAGTCAGATTGGCCAAAACTTGGAGCCCTGGTCCACCATGTAGCTTGACAGGTAGGTCAACCAAGGTAATATGTGCCATGACCCACAGTCATACTCTCCAGTTCTCGAGGGTGGCAAAGTATCTCAGAAATCTTTTGGCTTCTTATGTTCTACCGTTCCCTACCCAGTAGTGGCCGATTTTGTGGAGCCTCCTTTGACTGGAGACGGAGCCCGCCTTTGAGGGAGGGCTTTTCTGGTCCACTTGCGATAAATCGTGCATGGATCCTTCTATTGAACCCATCAAATCTTATCTAGATCTATTGAATCTATTCTCAACTGATCTCCCCATGTGACCCAAATGGTCTCTGCCTTTCAGCGGACTGACCGAAGATCGGAAAGGGTCACAGTGGCTTCCCCCGGGTGCGACCCTTGACGTCACTGCCGTCCTTTCAGAGCTCATCATTGACCAGGTATCACCTGTAAAGCATTCCATGGCGGCAAAGGTGGAGCAGGTGCAACACAGGGCTGAAGGGCGTGAACATGTCGGAGATCATGGACAAAGAATGGAGGACCAGCAACGATTTGCTATCCTTAGCCGCTGGTCCTGCATCATCACCGTACATGACGTGCATTTCTAAGTACATCATACCGTGCGATGCATGTCACACACCTCACTCTTTGCCTTTCAGATTTTGTGGATACGTACTTATATACAATCCGTCAGTTCTTCTTAGCGGATGTGATCCTTGCAGTTGGCACACATCAACCAAAGTTATCTGTAGATGTTCATCGGCGCCTGCTGGATGTCTCAACTTCCACCCCTTGCATTCTTATAGAACCTAGTGGGTGTTCATTCAAATAGTTAGAAAGCAACACAAAACATAAACCATCATAAACCCAACACCTAGCTACTCAACTCTAATCCATCCTGCACTGCCGCATAGACCGGTGGCTCAATCCGTCCTGCCTGGGCCGGGCCCAATGGGTCTCAAGCGTTGAGCCATGAGCACGGCACCCGGGTGCACCTGACCGGTGAATGGTTTACGGCATCGCACGGAAGAAAGCACGGTTCTGCGCTGCCAAGTTTCGGGGAACAGAGCGAAAAAGGGGCGAAGAAATGTGAGATACATGTTTGGGTATCTCCCAGCTGCCAGCTGCCAGTGGATGAAATTGTTGGTTAGTAGAGGCCTTCCTTTAAACCAAACATCCCATATTAACAGACACTGGAGATGGGACGCACCCCCCAAATACATGGGTGTAATGGCTTTGCATGGGTCAGGGCACCCGGACTACCGACCGTTGACCACAGAAAATACACAGAATAGACTGTGAAGGGGTCAACCAACCACTAGGGGTCCGGGTGCCCTGACCCAGAGCCCAATGGCAGCGTCAAAGGGTCAACCTCGGGTGGGTCGCCAATCATCCTGAGATGGCAGGTCAAAAGCGGGTGACCCTGGTTGATCACCAAACATGAATAGATTACCAGGTCAACCTACCAGGGTTTGGAGCTCCAGGTCTTGACCCACTGCCAAATGATTGTGCCTCATTCTATGCACCTCAACGTCCCCAAACACTGCACATAAAGCTGACACTTAGGCTCTTGGATGAGCGATGATCTCAAGAAAAGTGTCTCTGCTCCATAGTATGGCAAAAACCTTAGACTACTACCATGTGAAATTGGCACTTCGACTAAGTTACTAGTAACAAGGACGCTATTAGGTTGGAGGCCATCGCTACTAGTAACAAGGGCATTGCTGCATCGCTACTAGGAGCAAGAAGCTACTAGTAGCTCCTGGCATTACTACTAGTAGCTGAAACTACTATTTGCATGCTCCAGGTCTGCACGCCTTGGCAATGTCCTGGTTGCCCGGAAGCAAGGTGCCGGCAGCGGCGACCTGCGGATGTCCGGTGAGTGCCGGGGAGAGCTCATCCGAGGTTTTTTAGCGTCACCGTCAACCAAGATCGTCCAAAGAAACCCAACTGAAGCAACACGATCTTCAACTCTCAAGCTTGAAGTTTCGAAGTGATGCGACACAAAGTCAGCTCAACAAAAAGGTTGTTTGGAGAGGATTGGATTGAGCCAAAAGAGTGAAAGCCAAACAGCAATGACCAAGGGATCCGCACAATCAACTTCGATCAACTTGTTGCGTCACAGCTGGCTGTTCTCACCTGGATCCTGGTTTGGTGAGCCTCCTGCCCAAGGACAACCCGAGATAGCCGTCAATTTCAGTCCAAGGAATCTATCCAAATCTAGAGAGACAACGAATTTGTAGGAAAAACATATGTGTATAGTACAGAGCAAGAAAACATTGTGGCATTCACAACTTCGAGTTGACATCCAATCCAATCTCTTTAGCACATATTCCCTTCAACATTCACCTATATCCACTCAACATCCTGTCAGGATTATGACATGACCCTGCTCCCCAAAACGCTTTTTGAAGACCCAGGCACGCAGTCTCCATGCGTCACCACCAAGAAGTTCCGCATCTGTCGTCGCACGTCTCTGTGGTTCGTGGTGACAGAAGAATGGAATGCAAAGTAATTCATTGACATGTTTGGAAGGCTCCAAACATGTCTCCATGGAAAGAAGTCAGTTTTGGACAAGGGGAATGTTCCGAAAGATGTACTTTCAATGGAGACATGTTGGGAGCCTTTGCAAGTCATAGCGGTTCTATTCACTTGCATAGTGACAAAGTGTTCAGTACATGTTGAAACTCGCCTATCTATTTAAGATGATTTAAGCTAGCAATTATTTGACTACTGTAGATAAACATGGGACTGGAAAATGGCCCCTTGGATGAGCATGTTCCTGCACAAACAGGTGGTTTTCCAAATTACTATGTCTGGGAGTAGACTGCTGATGGACGAGATCTTCTGGAAACTATTGCTGGACTCACGGAGCAATGTCTTTTTTCTGTCAAAAGTAGAAAGTGGCGCTGAGTAGCTGGGTCCCAATCAACCAATGCGACGTTCGGTGTTCTTCATGTGGCTCGGAGCATCGAAGAACATCGAGCTCCAATTGAAAGAAAACATCTGGAGAAGCTTGTCCTATTTTGATATTCAGCATGCCAATTCTAACATATGCATCAAACAATCATCAAAGCACCCCGTGGTGCCCGTGGAATAAACCTGTACCTCAAAGAATGTAGTCCCTAGTCATCGCACTCGTCTCAAACAACAATCCTAACACGTCGCAGCTTCATAACTGAATCCTGCGAAAACCTTGCGTCAATGGAATCGTGAACCATCATGAACTACCGTTTATTTTTAAATGTGATGATTCGTAAACAATATTGTGATGATTTTGGTTTGTTCAATGTTTTGAAGCCCAAGCGGCCCAAGCATATTATTGAGCCGCGGCACCCTCCAACGTGCGCGCAGTTCATCTCCGCGATAAAACACAAAACACGACCGCACACCAAACTTCGAAAACGGCATCCGAACCGTTCATAGGTTCTCAGGATGCCTTCTCAGTGCCACGGTGCACGTAGGCCAGGAAGGTCTCGTTGAAGCGCTGACGGCCTGTGGACGTGTCTCGGGAGTGCACCGGTGGGGTAAAAAAGCGGTTGGAGAGGTGCAATTGTTTAGCAAAAATGAGATCATCCACTTGTGGACATCTGAATCCAGTGGAGAGGGTTTGGTGCAACAGTGAAAGGCAGTCAAAACTAGAGGGCTGCGGCTGTTGTGTGTAGTGTATATCAAATAATGTCTGGGAGTTGGGTGGGCATGGCTAAGAGATCGTTTCTGAATATGGTGATGTCAGGCATTGGAGTCTACTTCCCTCAACAGTAGGACCTTTCAAATCGCAAAGTGGAGAGCCTCCTGTGTTCCCGGCTTTCAGGTCGTCGTAGATTTTTCAGGCAATCAAGCCAATGCACCATATAACTACCCCAAACACGGTCCCTGGCTACATTCCATGAACATCTCTCGTAGGTCGTAGAGCGAGAAATCGAGGGTGCAGGACAAATCTCCACTCAATGTCAACTTTGTCCCCCAAACACGAGCTGTTCCTCACCCTTTCGCTCGCCCCAAAAGAGGAGCACATCAACAAGCGATTGTGTAGTTACAGGAAAACGACCGATAAGTACCACCTAGTCGCACCTGGTTTTCCTTGAGCCAAACTGTAGGTAAGTGAGACATGTGTTCGACATACTAGCGTGAAACAACACCCCCCGCTGAACGAAAATGGGAGGAGTGAAGTTATGTACAGTGCACTAATTAAGGACCTACGAAGGTATCCGGTCCCCCGGTATGTGCGAAGCATCGAACCGGAACGTGCCTTGAGATGGAGAGGATGATTGACCTCAAGGACGAATCACATAAAGCACTGTCATGTTTTGATGCTAGTGTTGAACATGTCTCAAGCGGTTTCATGCATGAAAGCTCAACGCATACTGTCAAAGGTAACTCTTTTGGCGCAGCGGAACAGGAAGTGCAATGCCAACCTTTTAGACAGCAGGAACAAAGCCATCAAGGCACACGCTCCCGCGTGGCGACAAAGCACAACAAAAGATGTGCGCTTCTGACTGCAAGGATTGAGAGCCAAGTTCATCGACCTGAACTCAAATGAATTAGCTGCTGGTATCAGGCATCCGGGCCCCCGGTGCATCACAGAAACGGTCATCCAGGCAACCGCTCCCGCGGTGCGATGAGGGAAAACACAGTGCACAAAGACAGCCATGTCACCCGTAGATTTCATTCCCTTCTCCACAGGCAACAGCTCCCGCTGTGCGTCGTGTTCACCACCTGCGCTGACTCCACCAGTCGTGTCCTCGCCAATCACTGCTACGACCGCGATCATCTTGCCACCAGTTGCGGTTGGATGAGGACCACCACGAAGACGATGAGGACGATTGCTGCCAATTATAGGACTGATCACTTCCGGCAGCTCCTCGCCAGCGATGCTCTGATGTCTCAGCCTGGGTTCGAGTAGCCCTTGCCAAACTTTCGCCTGGACCTGGCGCTGCCTTGGCCTTGGGAATCACGAGAGCCCGTGTCTCTTTCACAAGATTGACATCAAGGCCAGGGACAAACTGAGCGTCGCCCATCACAAATTCAAGGAGTTCGTCCAAAACATCATCGGAGTCCGACTTCTCACTTCGCCACTCACCGCCGAAACCAAGGATGGCGGGTCGCTTGGCACCCTGATGCAGCCTGTTCTTCCAATAGATGAAGAAATCTTCACTCAGGTCCGCATCATTTCCTTTGGCCGGCTCGTTCATGAAGATGACCTTCCCGGCGTAGCGATGTCCGATGCCTTGGGAGATCATTTCCCTTGTTCTCGGAGGATCAGGAATGACGGCATCCGACAAGCGTTCAAGAAATTGGATACAGATCGGAGAGAGGTCTTGGGCTGCGCAGTTGAATGCGTAAAAAGCATCAATCAGTTGCCGCTGCGAGACTGTCAGGCACATCTTCTCCGCCTTCTGGACATGGCTTTTGGCGTTCGCTTTCTGATGTTGATGCCCGAACGCGAAGCACGTTGGATCTCATGGCCAGGCGTCCCCGCCGGCGTCTTCCTCACTCCTGTTCCCTGCAACCTGTCCTCCGGAACCATGTCCATCGTGACTTCGATTCCAAGATCGGTTGCGATCTCCTCGATCCGGATGAGCTGCAGCCTTACACAGATCAGAGGCATTGTTGAGGAAGGTGCCGCAAGTAGTACAGGACATCGTGCCATGGGTATAGGTGCGCCTGCACGTCGGACACTGATCTTCTGGCATCTGAATGCCCTCAACGACCATCCATCGAGTGTTGCCATACCCCTCAGTTTCGGGGTGGAACTTGCGCCAATCAAACCGAGGGCGGTTGTAGTTGGGCAGCATCTCTTTGGGCGACGCCTGATTACGGTAGGCGTTGAAGTTGGGTCTGCGAACGATATACGTGACCTCATAGGTTTCCAGATCAGGATTTCTCTTTCCTGAGATCTGCTGCTTCTTCAGTTCTTTGCGGATGATGCGTGCAAGACGCGACGATTCAGAGCTTGAGTCATTGGAGCTATCACTTCCACTTGATGAGCTAGGTGATGAAGGTGATGGAGAAGGAGAACGCTTCTTTCTGCGCTCTCTGGAGCGGCCCCTCTTTGGGCTCTTCTCTTTCTTCTTCTCTTTCCCTTTCTTCTTCTTGTCTTTCTTGGACTTATCATTACCTTCTTCATCTGCATCGGATGGATGAGGTTCGTCATCGCCTTCGTTCCCGGGCTTCTCCAATTGAGTGCGAAGGCTCGCTGGGGACCCATGAGACCCAAGTGGCTGCTCTGGAGGTGCAGGCACTCGGTTCCCCGAGGCGTTGTCGAATCTCTCTCTCAACTCCTTGATGATCCGACTCTGCTCGGCTAGCTCTGACCGGAGTGCATCCTCTCTTTGCTTGGCAGAGGCGCGTTCGTTCTCGATGACGGCGTGTCTCTCGAGCGAAATCCGATCTAAGTAAGCCCTCTGTTCATGAAGTTGTTGGTTCTGATGGGCTTGGTTTATGTCACTTAAACGTTGATTGGCAAAAGCCTCAAGTTGTTCCCTAGACTCCTGGATAGCCGCTCAAGCTTGGTTTTCTACCATGTCTGTTTATTGCCTAGCATCATCTGCAGCTTGTTGCCCATGCTCGGCCAAAATGGCCTGATGTCGTAATTCCGCAATCTGAGCTACCTGAGCTGACCTATCTTCATTGACGAAGACAGCTTGTTGATGAATCTGTCTGGCATCAACATTCTGGACATTCATCACAGGAGAAAACTCAGGTTGGAAAGGCGACGGAGCTTGAACACTAGGCATCAGGTCCCCCTGTGCACTGAACGTAGGTGGCGCATTTGGCACACGCAAATCCAGTGGAACAACAGGGAGCTCCAAAGCAGGTGAACTAGACATAGCAGGCGAGGTAGGAACGTAGCCTGAACGTGAGCGGTCACCACGGGAACCATCATCATCAGCCATGGCCTCTAGATAGTGCACTATCTATGGTGGGGTGAGACCAAAGCTAGTAGCAAGCACGTACCGCACTTATGGCGATACGGCTGATAACCTGTAGTTACAGGAAAACGACCGATAAGTACCACCTAGTCGCACCTGGTTTTCCTTGAGCCAAACGGTAGGTAAGTGAGACATGTGTTTGACATACTAGCGTGAAACAACAGATTGTTCTCCCATGGTGGAAAACTTCACACCATTTGGTGGTAATGTGTCCTAATATGTCCTCAGCCTTTGGAAGGTTCATCTATGCGACCATGCTTCGAGGTCCCCATTTTGACCCATGGCCCATGTCTATGAAGTAAGCAACCCACGACATCAATTTACTTTTGCACCGACCCCAAACAAAGAGATCTAGACTTCTCACCAAACAGATCCACGTCAAACCAACGCTTGGTCACTGCAACCGGCGCCAAACACGCTTCGCACCGTCTTGAAGGGTTTCCGGCCACTGTGGCTTTGCCCCAACCTCGGCCAATCTGTGGGTGCAACTGATGTTTCAACACTAATCAAACAAACAAAAATACATCACAGGCGGTCTTCAGAACGAGGACACTTGGGTCAACAAAGATGGGGGAGTGAAAGGGTCACTTTCAGGCGGTGATGGACCGCCAACCACGGCCGACCACCCAAAAAAACCTTCCTTAAGAGGCAAGAGAGGGTCGCTCCTGTCGGGGACCGATTTGATCCAAAGGCATATCGACCTCCACCGAGTGCACCGGGCACGGAATTCTCCCCAAATCGGAAGCCCATTCGGTCGATAGACCGCGTTTTTTCGGGTAAGGTAGTGTAAGGGACCTCTGAACACTGGAGGTTGAGAGTGGCTCAAAGAAACGCCAGACAGAGAAATTCCAGCAATACATACATATATATAGTCATATATATATAGAGGAGCAATTATATATGCACCATGTAGTAGTGTCTTTGTTAGGCAGTGTCTGCTGAAAGGATCACTGCCCCCCTGCAAAACTGTGACAAACCTCCTTGGGAACAGGAGTCGAGAAGCACTCACACACACATTTGCCCTGACCGTGAGCAGTAAGACAAAAGAACGAAGACGTGAAGAGGAGACAAGACGGGACAAAGGTGTGTGTGGTTGCAATGAAAAGGAATCAAGTGCACAGGGACAACCGATGACAAACCACCTCATTGTAAGAAACGGGGGACCTAAAACCTGAGTTGACAGTAGGTTGTGCATGTACATACTAAGGGCCAAGCCATGTGCACGCAAAAGAAGGACAGAGATGAGATGACAGGACATGAAGCAAGGGAAGACATGAAAGAAAAGAAGAGAAAAAGAAGGTGTGTGAAGGGGAAAGGAAGAAAAAAGGGGGAACCAAATGGAGGAGACGAGAACCGATGAAGCCAATCCTCATTGCAATGACCTAGGAAGACCTGCTTCGTTTGAATGTAATTACATGCTGTATGTGCACCTGAGGTAGCGACGGGTCCCAACGGACCCTAAAGCTCTGACCACGTGGAGGCGTTAAGCCAGCTTGCGGTCACGTAACGGCATAGAGCCAGAGCCATCTTGGAATTCAATAATTCCGCAAATCCTGGCAAATGACTTTGGCCTAAGGCTCCTACGCTCGCTGCGAGCTGCTCTGTATCCGGGGGATACGTTCGTCTAACCCCCGTTGGAGAGGGGGCACTCTACGGGCTCACCCTGGGCTGGTATATGAAGCCAAACATTCTTATAGAAATGCGTACTGATTCGGTTGCGGTTTGCCACACGCCAGCCTAAGTGAAAAACCTAAGAAAACCAGGACGGGTATACGTACGGTGGTCCAAACCCGCTCAAAACCTACACAGCCTCCAACTTCAAATCGACAAAGCCAAAACGACAACGCACATTTGCCGATGATGAACCGATGCAAAGGCTGGACGTCTTGTTCGGTACAACGGGGCCCAAAAGGAAGTGAGTGGTGATCATCTTCTCGCAGGTACGTGCAATCTGCGTCCAGATTGCATACCACAGCAAACTTGAAGTGTCGTCGTTGAGCGGTGACTTCAAGAATGCCCACCGCTCCCCTGCCAATTAAATCCAACTAGATCCCTGTGATTCCACGGACTTATAGAAATGCGTACTGATTTGGTTGCGGTTTGCCGCACACCAACCTAAGTGGAAAACCCAAGAAGCCAGGTATGTGAAACACGATAATTCTAAAAACCTCCAAAGCCTCCAAGGGCAAGTTCAAGGTCAGGTCTCAAGCTCACGAAAGTTCCAAGGTGAATTGCCGATGCACTAGCCCTTTACTGCAGCAAGACGGAAGGCAGAAACAACATTAGACAGCTTTTGCCATACTTAGGTTCTCAAAAGCAGGTACACAGATTGGCGTCCCAATCTGCATCGCGGAGTATCCACAGCTGTCTTCGTTGGCAGCAGAACTGCGGACTCCCTGCCGCCCCCTGCGAGTTAAAGTAAAAATCAAAAATCGAACCAGATCCCTGTGATTCCAAGGGGTGCGCACACACACACGCCTCCCCGAGGGGAGGCGAGAAGCACTAAGGTCAGGGCAAATGTGTGAGTGTGTGCGCAGTGAGACAAAAGAATGAAGACATGAAGAGGAGACAAAACGGGACAAGGGTGTGTGTGGTTGCAATGAAAAGGAATCAAGTGCACAGGGACAACCGATGACAAACCACCTCCTTGTAAGACTTGGGGGACCTAAAACCTGAGTTGACAGTAGGTTGTGCATGTACATACTAAGGGCCAAGCCATGTGCACGCAAAAGAAGGAAAGAGATGAGATGACAGGACATGAAGCAAGGGAAGACATGAAAGAAAAGAAGAGAAAAAGAAGGTGTCAAGGGGAAAAAGGATGAAAAGGGAACCAAATAGAGGGGACGGAAACCGATGAAACCACACCTCATTCCAACGACCTATGAAAACCTGCCCCGTTTGAATGTACATGCTGTATGTGCACCCAAGGTTGCGACATGTTCCAATGAACCTAAAGGTACTACGGTCGCTCTGACCACGTGGTGGCGTTAAGCCAGCCATTGAACCGCTGCGGTCACGTAATGGCACACTCTGCGGGGTCACCCTGGGCTGGCATGAAGCCAAACACACCTATAGAAATGCGTACTGATTTGACGGTTTGCCACACGCAAACCTAAGTGAAAAACCTAAGAGGCCAGGTATGTGAAACACGATAATTAAAAAAACCTCCAAAACCTCCAAGGGCAAGTTCAAGGTCAGGTCTCAAGCTCACGAAAGTTCCAAGGTGAATTGCCGATGCACTAGCCCTTTACTGCAGCAAGACGGAAGGCAGAAACAACATTAGACAGCTTTTGCCATACTTAGGTTCTCAAAAGCAGGTACACAGATTGGCGTCCCAATCTGCATCGCGGAGTATCCACAGCTGTCTTCGTTGACAGCAGAACTGCGGACTCCCTGCTGCCCCCTGCGAGTTAAAGTAAAAATCAAACAATCCAACAGGATCCCTGTGATTCCAAGGGGTACACACACAACCACACACTTCCTGAGACAAAACCGATAGTTTCTAAGTCTCTGATGTTTCGCTCAGCTCCTTCTCCAGAAAAACAACTTAACACTCAAAGAAACCCACTTCGTGCTGCCACACAGCCCTTCCTGGGGCGTTGCATCTCCCGGTCGCTGTCGCTCGTCGGGCGTCCGGGCACACAGTGGTGCAATCCTCGTCACCCCACGAGCCTTACAGTCCTGGCGCTTTCGGTGGCTGGGCTCGGTCCAGTTCGGTCAAGGTCGGTGGGTTTCATCCGATGGATGCAAAAGAAGCAGGCATCACAGGAAGTCTGAGGTGATCCCTCCGCGACATTTCGCAAAAAAACACACCCGCCTCCAAGACCGAGCTGAAATCCCGGTGGAGGCGTTCCGGCTGCGTTGGGCCGAAGATGTCTTTACCAAAAATCTCTCCACCTGAGAGGTGGCCAAATCCCCCCGGTTCCTGTCTCGAATTTCTTCACGTTCCGCTTCGCTCAGTTTGGGCCCAAACAGGAAAGTGAGCAATCGAACCAATCAAAACAATCGTTCTTTCTAGTTTTAACGAACACACTTTGGGACTTCCAAGAAGGGTTAGCGGTTAGCGTGGTCAAGAGTCACAGTTCGACATGTTCACAGAACAAAATGGTGTCCAAAGAAGGTGCCTGCAGGCATGTGTGGTTTGCGCCATTGTGGGCTGTTTGATCATCTTCTTTGGTACCTTGCGCAGCCTCCTCAACATGCAGGGTGGGCGAACCCAAGCAACCTCTTTCCTTCTCAAAGCTCCCTCGAGTGGCACAAGATCTTCCCACAGCCAATGATGATGCTTGTTACAGCAGTAAAGCAATGACAAACAAACAACTCATCAACCTGTACCAACTGTTACAGTGAACAGGACCAGCGAAGACATAATTCACAAATCTCCTTTATAGCATCCTTTCCTGAGGAGCTCTGAGACTCAACCAGTGCCAAGTTGCAGGAGGCATCGAACATCAAAATGGTCCTTCGTGGAAGGAATGGCTTCGATGGTCCTTCAATCCAATGGTCCCATGATGCTCCGGAGGTTCTACTGGCCTTTCCTACATTGGGATGGTTCTAGGGATCGAGCACAGGCGTTTTGTTCCATAAATGGATGTCTGGGTTATGAAACCCAAAAAGCTGTGAACGAGAGCGCAACAAACAATCTTTATTGCGGATTCAAGCGTAAAGGTTGCACATGGTTACACTCCCGAAAAGTAACATGGACCCTGAAAAATGACCTTTGGATGACTATTTTCCTCGACAAACCAGTGGTTTTCAGGGTCCAAGTTTTCCACGGGGTATGTGGTGACAAGTTATGACGGATAACTGACGACCTGACCACAGTGACTCTCTTCTCGTACCCTACCACACGAGCCACAGGAGTCAGCACCAAAACATAATCCTCTGAGACCCACCTGCAAATGCATTCCGACCCACTGCACATATCTCAGGCCCTGTTCGGGTTCTGTCGGTTTCGTTCGGCATCTGTGGCATCTTAGGAAGTCTTCCATTCGCTGAGCCGCTGGTGGATCTTTGGGATTCCCATCTTCCCTCCAGCAGATCCAGCATGACATCAAAAGGAATCTTCTTCCACAGTAATGGAAATGCAATAGAAACTTATGGAAATGCAATCTTCTTCCGACCGTTCAAACCTTGACCCGAATTCAACAACAAAGACTCAGAGTGGTCAAACAGAATCCCAAAAACCGGATACCACTTCTCCGCCCTCCCAACGAGACACATTCCAAGACCCCACTCCCCAGGCTCCACGCAGGCCGTTCGCTCCACCGCCGAGCGTCGAGGGCCCAAGCTCGCGACAGATCACGGAGGCCGTTTGCGTGCAGCGAAGGTAAGGAGAGGTGACCACCACCTGGATTTGCGTGAAACGAGGACAGAACCATCACGTGACCATGACATAACCCACACGTAACACAAGGATGAGGAAACAGAAAAACAAACGCAACAGGTGAACAACCGGCTGCTTTCTGAAGTGGCCCTCGCCTCCAAAAAGAGTCCTGACATTCTCACATGTTTTCACTGTCCAAGTCCGGACACACCCAACATCACTCTGTCCTATCGCTTTCTGTGCCTCAGGGCATATTACTTTCCGAAATGCTTGGTGTTTTGGGGCGGTGGTCAGTCTCAGGGCGTTGACCGAAAGAGCTGAAAAGAACACCCATGCCACATCCATTCCACATATTTTACCAATTCTGGTTGTTCATGTTCACCTTCTTCCACCTCACCTCAAGTGCCGCAAAAAAGAGAAAAAAACACCGAGTGCCCGACGTGAATGGTCGTCTCCTGAGCTGTGGTGAAACTGGGGACGTTATCAACAAAGAAAACCGTCGAAAGCCTACCAACCAAAACAAACAGGGTGAGATCATGTAGGATGCATTGCCAGCACTGGGATCAGCTGGTCTGGATGACCTTCATTTGACTTTGTGCTTGGGTAAACTGCCGGCCTTTCACCGACAACGCACAATCGGTGGATTCTGAACCAGTGAAATCTACGGTTCATTTCATGCACTGCAGGGGGACACGGTGGGGAAAATATGTTTATCACCGAATTGGTACAAGGGAACATCTACAGGAAACCCATGGTTTTGAAGTGTTTTGAGTCAGTGAACACAATGGTTTCCTGTAGATGTTCCCTTAAACAAATTCTGGAGTAGGCACACTGCTGTTGATGGAACAAAAAACTGTTCTGCCCGTGATATCTCCTGTGACTCCAAACACCAAACGGATGTTCCTCCTCTGTTCCTCGTACTCCAAAGACCGACTTGACGAGACCACGTGTGGTGCAGGATGACGAGACCACTCCCTCTCACACTCCATGGGACCGGAATACTGATTATTGAACCCTACCGGGGTGGTTGAAATACCTACCTTGACCCAAATCAACCACCCCTGCTTGTAAAACAATTCGGTCCCATCGGGACAGGATCTCCGGCTCGGCACTGCCGGGTTCGTTCCAGGTGACAGCTGTCGTGAAAGATGGTTGGTTGCAGTTTCTTTCAGAGGGAACAACAAAATAACAACTGATTGTCATATAGAGCTATGCCAATGCTTCATTATCTGAAAAAGAATGCCTTGACTGGCATGACAACGAGTGCTTGGTCGTTGGACACCGAATCATCTCAAGCATCTTTGGCCGATTCCTACCGCCCCATCTCGTGCAGAAAATCTGGATCCTGAGACCCCCCTGGTAGCCCTGGCAGTCCAAGCGGCATGTTTTTGGATAACATGTTTAATCTCCGCAGCAAGGTCTAGCGCTCCACGCTCACCATCATCGCCTTGAAACCCCGAGCACTGGTTAAAAAACCACTCAAAGCCGGTGCAAAATCAACTAAGAGGTTGAAATCATTCATTTCATGTTGGTTCTGCTTGTTTGGACATCAACATATCTGCATGAGCTCCAATATTGGCAACTGAATGGGAGGATGAACACCATGGTATTTCCACGCTCTGGCCATCCGGGCCAGCTCATCTTCGTACAGTCGATCCACGTCGAACCTCTAGAATATGAGTCTTTCAGCCCAATGCTGGTTGATATGGCTGCAGGTGCCATGGGTCATGGCACTAGGATACCTTGGTGTTCCGTAAGAAAGCAGAAAAACCTCCCTGACCTGACGCCACTGTCCAAAGAAATGATCCGGACACCTCCACTGCTTGGAAGTAGGGATATCTCCAGTCGACTGGTACACCCCAACAAATACCTTCAAGGCATCTGGAAGCTAAGCTAAGCAGCTAAACCACCAATTCTGCGACTTCAATGTTGGATCGGGCACACGCATGGATTCCGCCTGCCTTTCCTGCCCAGAGCCTGGTAGCCCGGTGCTGCGTGAGAATGACTTTGATACACTGATACACCGCCCTTTGGAGGTGTTTCGCAAAAACACAAGGATCTCTCGCCAAGAACAACTCCGCTGGTGGGAAAAGAATGAGCACATGTGGCCCTGTGTAGTACGGTATGATATGTCAGTCATTCTCCCAGTTTTCAAGGCTATAACTTATACTGATTTCCCAGTTATAAGGCACCAACCTGTCCCAGCGCGCGCGTAATCAATGGGTCCAAGGCTCTGAGAGGAGGATCCCACGGATGTTCTCGATATTCTTCTGACTGCACATAAGGTGCACCCCTGCCCACGCTGGGAACACCCGATGGAGATGTGCGGCGGTGGGCTCTCCACAGAAAAAGAGGTGTTTGAGCAAGGTTCCTCCACATCCCATGCTTAGTTTCATGTGATGTCTGAAACTTCCAAGAGTGCATCTTAGTGGCCAGTCACACGAAAAATCAGGCAGTCACTATCAGCAGTTCCTGGAACTATTGTTCACCCATGGGGGTTGTCTTTGTTTTTGGTGGCAAATAATGAAGATCAACTGGGAAAAGTACGATTTCTTGTTGACAACTGTGGATTGTCTGCTGTCTCACCTCCCCGTACAGGATCCTCGTCAATGTCATGCGAATCCCCTCCTGTCTTGAGTACGTAATTAATTGGGGATGGAGTGCTTTGAAATGTTTCACATGGTTTTGTCCGTGCTCGATCGGAAGGAACACCGCGTTCAGTAACAAGTCCCAACTTGGCACTCCTCGCTCCCCGGATCACATGCCGCTGCAACCCCATGACGACCTCAAGTTCATCATCCGTGATCACCAAGACTGTGCTTTTCTTTTTGCCCATTCTGGCCCTACTTTGGACAAAACAAGGCCCCTATCATCCCTGATCCACATTCACTCGGCGGCCCCGGCTTGTATAAAGCATAGGCTGCGTCTGCCCGCTCTGCATGTCTCGCTACGCAGCACATTTGAGTCGTGCGACTGGCCGGGTGAGCGACGGGAGAGTCCAAGCATGGACCTGTGGCAACCCGCTTCGTTTGGATCCGACATGCCGCACCAAGGAAGATCGTTTGGTGGGCGCCTACAAGTAAAGCCAAAACGAGCCCAAACGGGTCATCCGTTTTGAAAAGTGGGACGCTACAGGTTTGACCACCGAACGCAGCCGGATCAAGGTATACATTATGACCACAGAGCCCCTGCATGTCAGGGAAATGGCAATCGAGAGCACACATTGAATCCCACCTCACTTTGGATCTTCCTCAAGACAAGTGCAACAAAAACTCATTCTCTGAAAGAATAACTCACCAACGACGTTTGCATGTGTTTACTCACCCTTCCGGCGCCTAGAGGGATCCAAAAGGAATGGGGACATCAAGGACGGAGTTGGTGAGCTTGGCTCAACCGCGATCACCTCGGCCAACGCGGTACGCGCGCGCGCGCTTCGCCCCCAAGCAACGACCGTGGCGAGGACGTGGTGGGACGGGGACGGGGTGAGAAAACGTGGACGTGGGGCACCAAATCTTCGGGTTGGAGCGGACGAAGGACTGTCTTAAAAAGGTTCTACCGTTCTGCCGTCTCCGTCTATGGGTCAAATAATGGCAATGTAGAAAATACCGCGCCCTACCGGGGTCTTGCATTTGAAATATTTGAACAAACAGCTATGCTTTCACTTTGGCGATTGATAGATCCCGTCGTCGGTGTTCCCCTCTCACAGCTATAGGGTCTCGTTCTTGCCACACAGCTACACAGCCCTAACTGACCTCCCCAACATCATTAGTTCATGTCAGGTCAATCTCGCGATGAGAGCTGATAATTAGTCTATGGACTTGAACAACCCGTGACCCGTGTCAGTAGCTGTATTCACGCAACAGTGTAACACCTGGATGCCTCAACAACCTCTTTCACTGTGGATCCTTCACCAACGGATGACCAAAATGTCTGTTCCTGCCTCTGGAACCCACCCAAACTCCTAAAACTGCCAAAGATGCGGGATGGGCACCACATCATCCCGGGTGACCCCGACGGTCTCGGCGCCCGTGTCTCGGCGTGTCGTGTCTTGGCGCCCCGACGTCCACGCTCATTGCTTCGATGTGGCGAGCCATCCCTGGCGCAACGCGGCGCAGGAAGCTGAACGGAGAAGAGGAACGTGGTTCTTTTCCCCATTGTTACTAGCAAGAATGCTTCTAATTGCGATGCCAGGAGCCCCTAATAGCTTCTTGCTCCTAGTAGCGATGCCCTTTGTTCCTAGTAGCTTCTTGCTCCTACTAGTAATGCCATGTAATGCCCTTGTTACTATTAGCAAGAATTGCTCCTGAGCCATTTCGCCCAAGGAATGGAGTATGGGGGACACCAGCCAAGGCTTTTTCGGTCGTTGCTGCTTTCTGGGGCAGCGGAAGCAAGGTTGCTTGAAGACTGTACGCTGTATGGGTTTTGGTTTGTAGCGTTTGTGTTACACATCAATTGTTCTATTTGTTCGTTTTCGGAGGAATATATTTATAATTGTAGAAGGAAGGAACGTGGTGTCCGGTGTCCGTGGTTGAGGAACATTTCATGAAAGTTCATGAAATGTTGATGTTCAGAACTTGTCATGATGTCATGAGTCCACTTTTGACAAGCTATATTGAAGGATCAAGAGTGTGCACAGTGGAACATAAAACCTTTCAAGTCACTTGGATCTACTCAAACCGGCTCGGTCACCAGCTGCCGGCCTTCTCCTGTACTGGACCACTGGACATCTCATCGACCAAAGGAATCCCTTGTTCCTCACCACCCAGCTGGGGGCGCTCTGTCGAGCTTCATTCAGGCTCTACCCCCAGCTGCAGTGAATTTCATTTAATCCAATCCATACAATATACTTCCCCCCAAACAAACAAGATTCACGATATTTCTGGAGTCCGTTCATCGTTTCCAAGAACCGCCGTTCGCACGTCCCCGAACTGCCCAACTCCTCGCCTTTTGGAAGTGGTGATAATTCTGAGGTTTTCCTAGGGACCCCAGACTGAACCCTTCACCGGTCCATAACCGGTCTCATCATTCCTTGAGCCAAATCCGACAGGGTTTCATCTGCAACATCGAACACCGACCGCGAAGAAAAAGAACAAGAACATCATATTCTTGAACTTGGAAGGAACCTCGAATGACCTGGATGGTGGAACATGTTTGGACTGGGTGTCTAAATGAGGGAGACACATTGTAGCGGATTCACGATTTACCAAAGATCTTGCTTCAACACAATCCCAAAAAAGGGCGAGATGTGCGAAGGGCTCGGACACTCCGAAGTGCCCAAAAGGGGCCACTGGGAACCATGCTTCCCTACTGTTTTGGGCCAGACACTCCCTGGCCGCCCTACCCGGCCCCCCGTTGCCTCCATGAGGGCATAGATTCTCAGAGGAAAACAAGGAAGCAACACAACATGAAAAACATCTAATCTTGCACCATGAGCAAACACTGCGAACACTGACCAAACTCCCCGAATCTTCCAGAATCTAAATGATCGGTTGATGCAAAGCCACTTTTGGAGGGAGCCTGTGGAGCGCGAATCGCCGTTTGGATCAGGTCGAACTCCAATCCTCGACTCCCGGCCGTACAGCGCCGGCAGCGCTGTTTGGCGCCCTGTTGGGCGCCCCGGCAGCACCCGCACCACCCGTCGCCTCCTTCATGGCTGCCACCTGTTCCAGGGACTTGCAGCGAGACGTTCAAACGAGCCAACGCTGGAGGGCAATTGGTAGTGGAATTCCTGGGTGAAACCAGGTGAAACGGTAGAAGATGTGAAGTTGGAAGGCCTGATTTCCTCTTGACCTCAGATAAGAGTTTCTTTGTGATACAAGTTGGATGAAGGCCTGGGCTGTCTTGATCGAGGTCTGCAAAGACACTCACACGCCGACTGTGGATCACTGACCTGAATAGTCCCAAGAGCTTCTCAAACAGTTCCGCTAGTCTTGTTATGGGATATTTAAAGGTTTGGACCTGGATCCATGCTTACTATCTCTTAAAATCTATGGAAATACATCTTTGGGGTCACCCCAACTTTGTTGTCCTCAGGATCACTATGTTGACACTCCAATGGTTTCTTCTTGGAGTCCATCAAGAATGAAACGCTGACGTCTATTTGTGTTATTTACTGTACCACCCAGTAACTGCAAGTGCTGCTAGGTAGGTAACGACTCCATTCCTCACGCACAAGCCGTTTTGAGCAGCCAAACTTGGCACTGTCCATGCTTCCTATATCTTGCTGCACTTGCATATTTCATAGCGACTCAGCATGAATCTGGTGCAATTGCTCTTCAGCACACAAAATCAACCCACGATTCTACAGTCATGCAAGCTGGATCCTTTGTGTTCGATCAAAAGCTTTAATAGAATAACATAATTCGAGACCGGAGCATCTTGGTGTTCCTTTCGTTCATTCTTTGTCACGTCATGATACCAGTCCGACCTGATCAAAACCATGATCCCTTCATGTTTTTGCTGCACCTTCATGTTGGTCCTTCTTTTTCTCAACATCTTGGAGCAAAAGTTCCACCATTCCCACCATCAAAGTGGCCTCAATGGCCGAAATCCGTGCTTCGTTGCCTTTTCAGAACGGATCCATATATGCAGCTGCAGCAGTCAAAGCGATAAACTCCGCAGTGGAACCTCCCTGTGCGGACCGGATCCTCCATGGGGAATACCGTGCGCCCCCGAGTCTCGCAGCTCGATCTCCGGAGGCTTCACAGTCCGTACAGCCCCAAGGGTTGGGCCGGCAGAACAGGGCGGAACAGGGCGGAACACCGAACACTGCGGTTGGAGTGGATCTTCCAGCCTTTGGGATGTCTTTGTGGATCTACTCTCCAAGTTCTTTTGGAGTGATGGTTGATTCATACCTGGAGTCGCCTGGAGTCTTAATAGATCTTAATAGTATGCAAGTTCTATTTTTAGGGGCACGGCATACATCGGCATACGCATATTCAAATGACATCCTCAAACGGTGAGCACTGAGAACTGCACCCTCATTGACAACTTCAAAGGAGCATGTGCCAAATACGGCCAGTTGATTGACAAGCAGTTTTTTGTTTTTAATATGATATATTATTGGTTGTTTGAGCTCGAGATTGCAGCTTCTCCAAAGGCCGAAAATATATAAAAATCGGTTCGATTCGTATCTCATCCGGACAAGACGTGCAGGAAGCAAACAAAAACAAGAACAACAAAATACCTCTCTCATGGTGGAAATCATCATCAAAGTCAGGTCATTGGCATGTCGGATTGACTGCAAACGTAGTCGTGACTACGTTGTCCAATGCCAAAGACCGAAGAAACGTCGTGTTCCAGCAGAACATCGTTGGTTGACTCTCCTGCTTCCGGAACCGGATTCCAACCCCTCCACCGCCGCACTGAATGGTACGTTCGACCAACAGTGCCTCCTTGGAAGTTGGCAAACAACATGTGGTGGTGTTTAAGAGCTGACTCTCTTAAACCTATGTCATCCTATGTCTGATATGGCCCTGAAGCAGGTAGTATCCGGTAGATACCGTAGCTCTTATATTCAAGAGTTACTGCTAGAGATGTTCTGTCTAATCTGGATGGTTTTAATCTTTCTGGCTCTCTGCTCTCTCCTACTAGCCTGTTGCAATCACTAAGATGGGAGAAAACCGACAACAAAAAAAAACAAGAATGCATGGAAGGGCTCCTTAGGTCTGTGTAAACTCAATAAGCGAAATGGGTATTCAATGTGACATCTTACTAGGAACAAGAAGCTACTTATATGATTGTTTGCTTATCAAGTGATTCAAGTCCTTTTGTTCTCAGACTCACCCAAGCACCTCTCCACCCCTTGAGAAACACCCAACCCAGCGAGGATCATCCAAACCGGTGACTCGGTAACTTGCCAATTTCTGGATACCAACGAACGATCCACAAACAACACAAACAATGCACAGGATGCAGGTGGGAAAGGTGGATGTCGGACGGTGAAGTGTCAAAGGACACTCAAAGGTGGCACAGGTCGTGCAACCGATGACCAATAATGATGAGCTGCTGAACAACTTCCTACATGTTCTGCTAGAGTTGAGGCTTTGTAAACAAAGCATCATCAAGCTGGTTTGGTGGTTCAGCATCCAAGGCATTTTAGGGCGTCAGTTCGTCTCCTTCGTCAGTTCGTCGACTCAGAAGGTCGTCACCTTCCCCCGGTCAGCAGGTCACTACCGTCTCTGTGTCTCCAAAACACAAGACCTGCACAAAACACCCTCCTGGCGTGGACCAATTAGATCATTAGGTGCGAAGAACTTCACACTCACATTGTGGAGTTGAGTTGACAGCTTTCCCTCTGCTTCCAAGAAGTGCAGTTCCAAACTCCCACTTTGCACTATGGTAAGCCAAAAAAACCAGCTGTGCTTCGCTTAAAGCAAAGCCACAGCATGGAATGGCTTTCACCATCCAACGCTCACTGATCGCCTGCGACAGGGGTGAACCGAAACTATCAAAACTTTGCACATATAGGGACTTTTTGGGAAGCTACTAGAAGCTTCTTGTTACTACTAGCAATGGCCTCCACCCTAGTAGCGATGGCCTCCAACCTACTAACAATTGTTACTAGTAGTAGTGGCCTCCAACCTAATAGTGATGGCCTCCAAACCTAATACCTTCTTGTTCCTAGCCTTTGCACGAAGATTCTCTACACCCTCCTGTCTCTTTAAATGTGTCTCCAGTCGATGACCCCCAATTGGCTTTTGCAACAAACAAGTGGCTTTTGGTGTTCTACAGATCCCCGCATTGAACTGCCTGCATCTTTGGGTTCTTGGATTTCATACTGCATTTATACTGCTTGGTCTTCTGACAATGGTACCAAGATATAACCAGTTAAAAACTGCTCTCATGAATCCAAATTCTGAACCACTGGGTTAGACGGTTAGACAGTTGGCTCAGGAAACTATGTCATAGGATGTTATAGGCTACATATATACACGACCACAGTTTACTTTTCCCACGCGTTGCAGAAAGTTTGTCTACAAATGCAAGGAACTCATACCTACAATTACCTCTCGGGGCCCCGACTCTCTGTTCCCTCGCCAAACCGACAGGAACAGAGAGCCCCCC